GCTGGCTGTTTTACCCCCGATAGTGTCCACAGTGTCCAAACAAAGGTTGCTTGTTCAAGATGGTGCCATCCTTCCCACAAGGGCCTGGAGCTCAGGGCATGCCAGCAAGTGATGGACCAAGATTCAACTTTTGGCATCAGCTAGAGTTGCGATAGTGGTAGCCAGCTCTAAGGTAGGTGGATATAGGTCAACAGTGCTAGGCCAGCCCTCTGTGAGCTGGTGTGCCAGCCCTCTGTGAGCTTTGCAAGCTAACATCTTTTTAGAGACACTTGAGCAAAGGTCAAAGGGCACAGACCAACAGTGCCAGTCAGCAGGTGATGTCAGAGGTAGGGTCAGAGGCAGAAGCAGCAGTTAGGCTGCAGTTTGAAGTGGAGATCAGATGTGGAGGTCTTAGAGGTCTTAGAGGTGTCTCTAAAGATCTACGAAATTCTTCCCTGGAAGTCCAGATGAGTCTACCCCATGAGTCTGTCCACTAAGCTTTTTTCTAGGAAAAGGTGTCAATGACACTGAATCCCAAGGTCTGAATCTGAAGGTCTCAATGAATCTGAGCCCTCTGAAACCTTGGCCTATATTCCGCCTTTCAAACCTGACTGGCCTGTTTACCATCCTATTTGATTCCAGTTAAGCACCAATCAAAATGGTCCATCTTCAATTCCAGGACCACAGCAAAAGGGAAACCCTGCTTGCGTACCTAGACCTGACCTATGGCAAGGTCTGAGCAGGCTCACTGACTGTGTCCTCAGGGAAGCTGCAGCTGGCCACAGAAGGACGCTCATCACTGAACCAGGCTGATCCCACCAGAGCTGGGCCTGGCCACCAACGTCTTGCACCTCTGGCCCCTTCACAACTCAGGAGTAGCAGCAGCGGCCTCTGTAGCCCAGTTTCTGTTTCAAGGGAACTTTACTGGTCCATGCACAAACACATGTGGCAACATGGAACTACTGGTTGTAGGTAAGGGATAAGGTGAGTGCCGGGAAACCCTGCAAAATCTGTAGTTGATGCACCTTGTAGAACAAACTGAATTATCAGTGGTTGTAGCTCCTTAGGAGTTGGGGAAGTGCACATTTCTCTTTACATGATTGCAGCAAAACCAAATTACTCTGTGTTAAGTTCTTTGCCCTTCTGAGCTGCGCAGTGATGTCTCATTCCTTCTCATTCCCTCACCCTTCTGAGACAGATTCTGGTTAGGCAGACAGGTTAGAAGACCCATGGAGAGTGAAAAAGATGTCAGAGAATGAAAAATGTCAGGCCCTGTGCCTCAAACAGAAGACAGCCTAAAATGCTCCATAAGAAGAGGGGTTGGGAGCTGGGGGGTTGGGTATGGTGAGCCCACATTTTGAGATGTGTGTTAATCTTTTTCAAGCTTCCCGAGTTTTGAGCTCCATGTGTGCTAATCTTTAGCAAGCTACTTCCCCTGGGTGTATTCAACAGATAGAGGCCCCTTCGCAAGTCATATTTAGCGTAAAAGACTTTAGACATGAGTGGTCCAAGGGTAACCTGTTCTCTGTCTACCACACTGTTGCCACCAGGAGATTTCACGCTTTCCTGCCACCTAAATAAACTTCCTACACTCATTCCAGGTGCTTGTCCCTTGTCATGGTGTTAGGGGGAAAAGGCTGTCCTAAAGCTAATTCCATACAGGCTTTGTGGACTCCACCCCCACCCCAGGCCAAAGCCAAAGACACTGGGAACTCCAAATCCCATCACCACCAAAGGGAAGGTGGCGGGGACCTGAGGGTGGGGTTAAGCAGCCAGGTGGATATAAAGCCAGACATGTGGGCTTGGGGGGGTTCCCCCATTTTGGCTCTCCGCCAGCTTGCAGCGTCCAGCCAGCTCTGAGAGTGCCTTTGGGTTTCCAGGTTGGCGGATCGGGTAGGACGCATTAAAGACTTTATTTCCCTATTTTCTCCCTGAGTTGTACATTTTCCTTATTTCCTTTTCCCTTGTAAATAAACCTTTTATTAACCTTTTGTGTGTGCCTGTAGTGGAGTATTAATAAGTCCCTTTTAAGCGCGCCCGCGGGTGAGGACCCACAGCCAGGCAACCCATTCAATATCCGGGCTGTCCTATAACAGCTTGGCGCCCATGGCACAAGACAAGCATCCCGCAGAGATCCTGCAACACTTCCATCCTAAGCCTCTCCTTCTGCCTCAGTAACTTTCAGTCCCTCAAATATCCTGCAGTTCTCTATTGGCCCATACCTTACTTCCATCTTTCCTTCCATCTACTCCAGCCTCCTATCTCAAACCTATCCCCAAATGCTCCCAGTTTCAGCCAGCTGCTCTAAGTGGACTTAGAGGGGAAAGGCGAAACGAAACAGTGGGGTCCAGGCAAGCATTTCCAGGGTACTCGGAGGAAAGGATTTGAGGAAGGAGGCTTCCTCCAGATCTAGGAATTTAAGGACGCGCTTGACAGGGCATATATAAGCATAGGGCCTGGGTCAAAGGAAATGCTTCTTGGGAACAGAGGTAGTAAGTCAGGAACCACAGCTCTTCCCCTTCCCTGAACAGTATACTGCCCACACCTGTTCCCTCCCAGCTCCTGAAGCTGCGGCTGCAAGGAGCAGAGAAGCCGTGGGACCTCAGGGAAGCCCAGCGGGTTATGCCCTTAGGGCCTCTTCACTGCTTCCCAGGGCTAGACGGGCAGAGGAGGCCTGGGCGCAAACAACGGGTACTGGGGAACATCCTGTAGCAGGCCTGCAGGCCCAGAGAGGCCCGAAATGAGTAAGAGAGAGCAAGCGACCGCAGGCTGACAACGCCAGACCGCACTGCTGCACGCCTGCGAGGCTGCGGCAGCGAGCAGCGGCGGAAAGGGGAACGCTGCACGGTGACGCGGAAAGGCCGCGGCCGGGACCTGCCCCTCCAGCATTCCGGCTTCTCCGACTCACCCCCGCCCCCTGCCGGCGGGCACTAAGCGAAATCGCGCACCGTTCTAGGCCTTTAGTAACCGTCTCTCTTGCCAGGACCACCCCACCTTCCGCTTTCAAAAAAACAGAAAGCGCACTTCCGGTGAAGCGGCTCCCAGGGAACTTTCTGGGAAATGGCGTCTTGGCCAGGAGGATTCTGGGAGTCGTAGTTCCTAGTGTTGCCCGGCGCGCACGCCCAGCAGTTTTCTGCTCGCGGCTTCGGTGGCTCTGCGGAGCGGGAAGGGGGCGCGTGCTCCCGCGCTTGGCCGGCTTTGGACCTGCGGCCGCGAAGGCCACCTGTCGGGCGGGCAGGGGTTTCCGGGTGCAAAGTGACGGACTGTCTTGGGTCCTCTGTCGGTTACAGTTGCTAATTGTAGTTGGGCAGTTACTGCGGCGCGGGATAGTCTCCGAGATGGCAGGACGAGCCGCCCGGGCATACCCTTGGGGTGTGGCACGGCCACAGACCGCGGGGCGACGCGGTCCAATCCGGGTCCCGAGAACCAGAGTCTCCAGTGAACAGGGGTACCTTGAAAAGGCCGTGGAGTCAGATGGAGGAGATGGGCGTTGTCCCCTGCCAATGTAAAGCTATTGTCGGTTTCCTGCTGAGCGAACTGTGTGACCCTGATTTAATTTTTTTTTTTAAAGATTTATTGACGCTTACAAGAACTGGGGTACAGGCCAGAAGTGCGGGGTGGGGGGGTGGGAGGATTCACCAGAGACAGAGTGGGCAGCAGAACAGGCAGAACTACTGAAATATAATGCTGTGGGGTGCAGCAGGCGAGACAGGAGAGGTCTGCTGTGCCATGTGGGTAGCTCCCTGGCCAGGGATCAAACTCCTGCTGCAGTCGTTGCCAGTAGTTGCGGATGGCTTCATGGTGCTGACGCTTAACCCCTTGCGCCCCAGGGAGGTCCCAGATTTAATTTTTTTAAGGTCACTGTGGCCTGTAGTTCAGAAAGGTCTCAAAGGACGGCTTTGGAGACCAAGCAGTCCAGAGGTGTGGGAGCCTATGGAGGCAGTTGCATGGGATGATAAGTGGATGATGGCTCATGGACATGGGGGAATTGGCTATACCCACATTTTTGTTGTGCTCCGCTGGCATATCTGAAGATACTCTAGTGCAATTCTTACTCATAATCTCAACCAAAACAAAAAACAACCTCGAGGAGGTTCACAAGTGAGCACAGGTGCAAATCCACTCACAGAACTATTCAGCTACATACTTTGACATCCATGTACATAGCCATGCTGCTGTTAACCCTCCCTGGTGAGCACACTGGTGTGTAAATACACACAGACACATAGCTACTGTGATCACATTCACACATACTCCTTGCCTCATGCAAAGGCCCAGATAATTATATCCATGTCATCTCAAAAAGCCTCTCTCTGGGGCTGAGAATGCTCTGCCATCTTGGTCTTAGTGTGGCCTCCTAACCAAAGGGCCACAAGTTGATTCCCTTGGGCCGCTCTTTAGAAACTTCAAACACGGCTCAGCCCTGTGCCGTACTGCAGCTATGCCACTATGACTAACTCTTCTCAGTTACCTTCCTGCCACCCTAACCTGATGCAAAACAGAGAGAAATGGAACTTGAATTCCGGTAAGGGTTTTGCTTAACGGAAGGTGTTTGGTGAAGGTTTCCCAGAGCAATAATTCTGAATATATTTGTACTCACATATATGCTAGACTCTTGGGAATCCACTGAAAACTGTTACCCCCCGCTCTTCTAAGAGAGACACACATCTTTATCTCCATACTTTTCAGAAGACAAGATCAAAACCATGTGTGGAGCTGTCGTTAAGGACCTCGGCAGAGATAGGTCAGAGGCAAATCAATTTCCTGGTTGCCCTCTCTGCGGTCTTCAGGTGGCTCCGGAGAAAAGAGTAATGTTCCCAGTCCCCAGAGGAGTCCAGGCATCATGAAGGGACAGCCTCTCCTTCCCTCGATTACTCTCAGCTATGGAGCCAGGTTATCTGTCTGGCAGGTCCCTTGCTGAGGAGTCAGCCGCTCAACTTGTTAGTGGGAGCAAGTCAGATAGGCAATTCAACTAGGCCAGTTAGAAAGATAGATCAATCAAATGATTCATGGTTTAGAAATTTAATCAGCCCAACATCCAGGCAGTTACTCAGAATTAATTTTTCAGAAGGACAGTAGTTCATCAGTCAGAAGGTCGATGTAATGACCCTCTGTGCGTCAGAGCCAGTTGTTGAGAATGCTAACAGCTGGTTCATCAGTGGGAAGAAGGCAGTTAGGATGCAACCATCTGGACCCAGAGTGTGTCTACTTGCCACATCTTGAAGACAATGTAAACAGGTGAAGAGAGAGTTGATTCTTAGGCCAACAGAGGGAGATTCAATTTGACAGGAAAGAGGCCTCAACCTAGGCTGGGCAACTGGAAAGGAGAAACTGCTGATGGGCTAGACAGAGTTACCACTAGAGGGCAGTGTGACACCCCCTCATATCGAAGGTCTGCAGACTGGCAGGCTCACTTCATTTGTTCAAGTCCCAGTCTTGGGCCAACTTTTGCAGAAAGGTTGCTGAAAAGGCTTCTCACCAGCAGAGTTCCTAGCCAAGTCATTCTTGACTCGAAGTTGGGAGGAAGTCTTGCCTTTCCTGGGCACTGCTGCCAGGGGCAGGAAGAAGGAAGTTTGGAGGACACAGAGTGATCTGCTTGTTGCCTCAGGGAACAGCTCTCTAAACTGAGGCACTGAGGGTGGGAGTGTGTTCTGGTGCATGTCACCTGCCAGGCTGCTTTCCTTCAGCTTTGCTAAGGACCAAGGAGGGTTTAGAGCAGTGGCCCAGCTTTGTGGTCAGTTGCTTCTTCTAAAATGGACAGGTGGTGAGGTTAGATACAGATTGTGAACATAACTATGAAATGTTCTGGGAACAACCCTTTTCTGCTATAGCAGGCAAGAGAGCAAAGCCATCTGCATAGACTTGACATCTGTGAAAAAGCTGTGCTAAATCTGCTGCCTGTGGGGAAAGCCAGTTTTTTCAGCCTCCACTAATGGCCAAGGAACAAATAAAGAAGATTTAATACCGGATATCCAGCCTTTGCATCTCCACATTCTTCAGAAAGGATCACATTCAGCCCCAGCATTGCCTTTCTCTGTGCATAGGCAGCATCAACTCATCTTTGGTACAAACAACTTAGAACCAGAAACCCCCCTGTCAAGAATAATTACATTTTTAATGTCAAATGACTCACTGTTCCTGCCTTCATAAACTAAATTCAAACTTGGGATTGTTGGGATAGTTCTCATAGAGTAAAATCTGTCAGACTGCTTTCTGGGCTTGAAGCCTCACTTTGGTTTTCTAATAAACTCTTCATCTCACTATGCTGGAGACTTTTATTCCAGTCAATAAGCTAATGAAGGAGACATGGGCAAAGGATGAGCAATGGGCTTAATTTCCCTTGGGGACCAATTGAGGTGCTTATATAAGGTGGCAAACAACGTGAGGCACAAAGGCAGGACTCAGAATATTTGAGTTCTTTTCTCCCCCAAAGGGAAGCTCATATGGCCTGGAGTTGTATCTGAACTTATGCCCTGAGCATGATGCTGGGCCTCCAGGTGAGCATCCTGGCAGGGACGTGTTTTGGTTGCAGTTGGTTTGAGTGACTCAGAGCAGTTGAGAGAGTAACTTGAGGGTGATGATTGTTGCCATGTAGAGGTGCCTCATGTGGCTCGTGGAGGGTAGCATCCTGAAGAAGAATGTGAGGCCAGAGAGGTTAGGTATTTTCTCTGAGTTTCACAGCTGGCAAGTGGTACAGATGCAAGAAAATCTGAGTCAACTTCCTAGAAACTCACCAGCAGGGGAAGGCAAGTACATCCAGGGTGCTAAGGCCTTTGCTCTCTGGGCAGTAAAAGGGGAGTCTTTTCTTTGAAAAGATAATATATCTACTCATCACAAATTCTGTCACTGCCTTGAGAGGCTTACCATTGATTGTAGAAGTGAAATAAGAACAGATGAAGCAAGGGGAGAAATTTGCTTCCAGATAGTCCAAAGCTGATTACAGAGAGAAGTTACACCAAGGCTTACCATTTATTGAACACATACCATGGACCTCACAATGGTTGCACCCACCTAACAGTCTCTATCGTTCATGGTTATCAACAGGCATTTGTTGTGCCCATTTTACAGGTAAGAACACAGGCTCAAAGAGGTATTTTCCCAGTATCAGTGTTAAGTGACAAACTTAAGAATGGGACAGGGATCATTCTAGATTATGAAGTACTTCCAGGCCCCTTAGCATACCACTTCTTTCACCCCATTACTCCATTATTCCCTCCAGGAATCTGGAAATTGGGTGATAGCCAATAATCTACTGCATTCCAGTAGATAAGAATCCTACAAGACAACTGTAAGATCCTAAAAACTCTTTCCCCTTCTGGAACAGCACACTCCACACACAGATGGGGCAGCAGATGAGGGTGAAGGACTAGGAGATTGCTAGATCCTGAGGAGCTTAGATTTTCTCTTGAAGGCAGTGGAGGGTCAAGGGTTTTTAACAAGGAGTGGCATGATCGCATTTGTGCTGACAGGAATCTACAGTCTCTACGTATCAGAGAGAGGAATACTGAGTATGTGTTTTGCATGCACCAGTAAGCCAACACACATCCTCCATTTAGGAACTTGCGAGAATTTAATATAATGGTGCTGTGTTGATGAGCAAGGATACAGCAGTCAGGCTGGTTTGACTCCCAGTCCTTCGGGCTTCCTGGCTGTGAAGCCTTGGTCAATGACTTCTCAGTTTCTTTTCTTTTCTTTTTTTTTCTTTTTTTTTTGTGGGACCCTCGCCGGCGGCTGGGGAACAAACTGGCACTGCAGAGCCTGCGGGCAGCCTCACAGCCCAGCACTCAACCGCTGAACCACCAGGGGAGGCCCAATGACTTCTCAGTTTCTTCCCCCAACTTAATATGGGAAATGATAATGATGGTTTCTAAGTTCAGGGTTGCCATGAGGATGAAACAAGGTTATGTGTACACAGCACAGCACAGCACAGCACAGCACAGCACAGCACAGCACAGCACAGCACAGCGCCACAGCTGGGCAGTGCTCAAGGAGCACTGACTCATCATCATGTCCCACACATCTGCTCCACCACCCGTCCTCTCAGCTTCCAGTCTTTTCCCAGCAACTGTAGTGGCAACCAGGTCCATGTGGGCTTTCATTGGGCAGATCTCATTCCTTTCCTGTGCGAGGGCCACTTGGAGGCTGCTGTGCCCAGGTGGACCTGCTGGGCCTGGTGCATGTCCAACCCAAAGTGCAGGGAGATGGCTGTGGTGGGCAGACATGGATGACTTCCCTCCACTCTTCTCCTGGGCGAATAGATTGGAGATGCATTTCATAAGCTCCTCAGGAGGCCCCAGGCTAGAGCAAGCCATCACCGTAGTCGCTTTGGTACTTTGGCACCAACCCCCACTTTGCTTATTCATCTCCACTCCTATCCTTCACTGCTGCTCCTTAAGATCACAATCCCCAGACTCTGCATTTAAACTTTTTCTCAAACTATGCTTTCAGAGGAGACCAGGCTAAAACACCCCATTGTAAGATAATCCTACTTTCTTGGAATTGTTGCCTTAAAAAATGGGAAGCGAGGGCCTCCCCTGATGGCACAGCGATAGAGCGCTGGGTTGAGAAGCTGCCTGTAGCCCCTGCAGCACCGGTTTGATCCCTGGCCACCTGCGAGGTTTAATCCCTGGCCACCTGTGAGGGTCCCACATGGTGTGCAGACCTCTCCTGCCGTGCCCGCTGCTCCCCTCAGCAGTGTATTTCGTCGGTCTGCCTGTTCTGTTTCCCGCTCTGGCTCTGCTGAATCCTCTCACCCTCTCGTGCTTCTGACTGTACCCAGTGCTTGTACAAATAAATAATCTTAAAAAAAAAAAAAAAAAGGGACACGAGAAAGGGAAGGAGCTAAAAACACAAACATCCATATGAGAGATGCAAGGAGATCATTTCCTGGAGTACAGTAGACTCTTGGCTATAACCCAATTTCCAAATTTCTCACATTCACTTGAATGAGGGTGATGGAGTACTGGGGTGAAAGAAGTGGTATGCTCAAAAAAAGAAAACTACAGGCCAATCTCTCTAATGAACACTGATGCAAAAATCCTTAATAAAATTTTAGCTAACAGAATCCAACAATGTATCCATAAGATAATTCACCACGACCAAGTAGGATTTATTCCAGGGACACAAGGATGGTTCAACATCCAAAAATCAATCAATGTAATCCAACACATCAACAAAAAGAAACATAAAAATCATATGATAGTATCAATAGATGCTGAAAAGCTTTCAACAAAGTACAACACCCATTTATGATAAAATTTCACCCTTGAAATTCTCAGGATACAAGGAACAGACCTCATCATCATAAAGGCCATAAATGACAAGCCCATAGCCAATATCATTCTCAATGGTGAAAAGTTGAAAGCATTTCCATTAAGAGGTGGAACAAGACAAGGATGTCCACTCTCACCACTGCTTTTCAATATAATACTGGAAGTCCTAGCCAGAGCAATAAGACAAGAGAAAGACATACAAGGAATCCAAATAGGGAAGGAAGAAGTAAAACTGTCACTATTCACAGATGATATAATATACATAGAGAATACCAAAAACTCCACAGAAAAACTAATCATACTAATCAGTTTAGTAAAGTAGCAAGATACAAAATCAACATGCAAAAATCAGTAGCCATCCTATACAAAAAACAATAAATTTGAAGAAGAAGAAATCAAGAAAATCATCCTTTTTATTATTGAAACAAAAAAAATTAAATACTTTGGAATAAACTTAACAAAAGAGGTAAAGGACCTACACAAAGAAAACTATAAAACACCGTTAAAAGAAATAGAAGACACAAAGAAATGGAAAGACATCCCCTGATCATGGACTGGAAGAATTAACATTATCAAAATGGCCATCCTACCAAAAGCAATTTACAGATTCAATGCTATTCCAATAAAAATTTCAATGACATTCTACAAAGAAACAGAACAAATATTAATGAAATTAATATGGAGCCACCAAAACCCCCAAATAGCCAAAGCTCCCCTGAAAAAAAAAAGAAGGGAATGGAGGTCTCACACTTCCAGACTTCAAACTATACTACAAAGCCATAATAATCAAAACTGCATGGTATTGGAACAAGACCAGAAATAAACCCACAGATTTATGGTCAACTAATCTTTGACAAAGGAGCAAAGAATATGCAATAGAGCAAAGAAAGTTTGTTCAATAAATGGTGCTGGGAGAACTGGGTTGCGACATGCAAAAGAATGAAGCTTAACTACTACCTCACACCATACACAAAAACCAACTCAAAATGGATTAAAGAACTAGACATAAGATCTTAAACCATTAAATATATAGAAAGAAATATAGGCAAAACACTACATGACATACACCTCAGTAACATCTTTAAAGACACATCAACTAAAGCAGTGATAGTGAAGGCAATGCTAAACAGCTGGGACTACATCAAAGTAAAGAGCTTCTGTACAGCAAAAGAGACAGTAACCAAAACAAAGAGACACCTCAATTGGGAGAAATATTTGCACACAAAACTAATGATAAAGGACTGATCACAAAAATCTACAAAGAGCTGATGAGACTCAACAAAAACAAAGTAAATAATGCAATCAAAAAATGGGCAGAAGAGCTAAAAAGAAACTTCTCTAAAGAGGAAATGCAAATGGCCAACAGGCATATGAAAAAACGTTCAACATCACTTGTAATCAGGGAAATGCAAATCAAAACAACAATGAGATACCGCCTTACACCAGTGAGAATGGCATATATTAAAAAAAAAAAAAACTAGTTAACAAATGTTAACTAGTTGGCGAGGATGTGGAGAAAAAGGAACTGTCCTGCACTGCTGGTGGGAGTGCAAACTGGTCCAACCACTATGGAGAGCTGTGTGAAGATTCCTCAATCTGCTAAAGATGGAGTTTCCATATGATCCAGCAATTCCACTCCTAGGTATTTACCCAAAGAACACAAAACATTAATTCAAAAGGGCACCTGCACCCTTATATTTACAGCAGCACTATTTACAATAGGTAAGCTATGGAAACAACCCAAATGCCCAAAAATAGATGACTGGATCAAGATGTGGTACATATACACAATGGAATATTACTCAGCAATCAAAAAAGATAAACTCATGCAATTTGCAGCAACATGGATGGAGCTGGATCATGCTCAACAAAATAAGCCAGAAAGAAAAAGAAAAATACAGGATGGTCCCACTCATAGCAGGAATTTAGAAAACCTAAAAAAGAGACCAGGAAAAAGACTAATTATAATAAAGTAAAAATCAAAATCAATAAGCAACTATAAACCAGAGACACACTACAGGGCGGGCGGAGAAGGGAGTAGGATCAAAACACGGGGGTTGGGAATTGTATGGGGACTATAACCAAGATGAAAATGCATACATTGTGCAAAAATGAAAAACGATGTAAAAAATATATAAAATAAAAAAAAAAAAAAAGAAGTGGTATGCTAAGGGGCTAAGGGGTCTGGAAGTACTTCATAATCTAGGATGATCCCTGTCCCACTTCTAAGTTTTCCACTTACCACTGATACTGAGCTGATGTCTTCAAGTCTGTTTTCTTACCTGTAAAATGGACACAACAAATGCCTACTGATACCATGAATGATGGAGACTGTCAGGTGGGTGTTTAGCCTGTTGTGAGGTCCTTGGTATGTGTTCAATAAATGGTAAGTTGTGGTACAATTCCAAAGCTGTAATCAGCTTTGGAATGTCCAGAAACAAATTTCTCCTCTTGCTTCATCTGTGCTTACTTCACTTCTACAATAAACGGCAAGCATCTAAAAAGCAGTGACAGAATTTGTGATGAGTAGATATATTATCCCTTCAATGAAATGACTCCACTTTTACTGCCCAGACAGCACACGCCTTCGCCCCAGGATGTGCTTGGTTTTCCTTGTGGTGAGTTCCTGGGAAGTTGACTCTGCAGGAAGTTGAGTGGGGAGTTTTCTTGGGGTAACACTGTGAAGGAAGAGAAGGAAGCAGGATGAGGCAGAAATGGGCCGAGAAGCAGTCATAAGGCCTCAGCTGGCCCTGTGCAGGCCTCTGAGCTGGATGGTGCTTTACATCCCTATGGGTCAGTGGATGTGGCTGCCCTGGAAGGAGGGCTTTCCTGGTCCTGAAGGAGGAGCTGCATGGTGTGAAGGATTTGGACAATGTGCCAGGCGTGCTAGTTCTCTACCCAGTCCCCATTGATCTCTTCTTCCTTAGTAAAAGGTGGCTGATTTTGTCTGGGACAGCAACGTGCCCAATAAGTGAAAATACCCATTGTCCTAGATGCCTGTGCACTGGCTGGAGCTTAAGGAACTCATTCTGGCCAGTGAGATGTAAACAACAGTCTGGGTTTCTGATCACACGGTGGATCCACAAGAAAATGAAAGGCTTTATCTGTTTAACCATTATAATCAGGTTTCTGTTGCATGTCACCACACAGACCTAAATGGTTCAGACAGGAATGATCATATGGTGTGGAAGAAAATGGTCCTTTCAGTTAAGCACATGGACAGCTTTGAGTCCCATCTTGCTGCATGCTAGTGAGCTAACTACATGACCCTCACACATGTCACCCTGGCATGTCTCCCTTGTCCTATGTCAGATTGCATGTCTCAACACATAGCACTGTGGTAATCAACATGTTCCTGTTTGCCTGGGAGTTGGCCAGTTTTAGCACTTAGGTTCCATATCCTGAGAAACCCCTCATCCTATTAAAACATATCCCCCAAAACCGTACCTCCTGTACAGATGGAAGAGAAGGCCCTGCAGGCTGAACATTGTATTTGATGCTGCCCCCTACTGGCTGACTATACTATAACATCACCACAAATAATCAGTTTTACAGAGTTCACCAAAAAAGTTAACTACAGATGGTTAGAGGTAAGGTTGGAATATTCTAACCATTTAGATCTAAATTTGTGACTGTTGTACCCCACTATGTTTTAGCATTTATTGATATTTGCTGGCAGATATTTTGTAGTGCTATTGGGACAATTAAATTAGTGTAGGTAACTAATGGTGTGTCATACTACGCGAGCAGCAATGTTCTCTTGGCGTGATGTACACTTGGTCTAGCCTCTGAGTTTGGACTCTTGCCTTGTAAGTGACTTAATTTTTTGGAGTCTGTTTCCTCATTTTTATTAAGAGTAATAGGGCTTTTCCTCAGAGGATTGTTTAGATTGATAAAGAAATCTGCCTGTGGAGACACACCACCCAAAGATGGAGCCTTAATACTGGCAGTGAAGCAGACAGCAGGCCCCCACAGGGTCCAGCTCGGCTAAGCTGCTTCCTCTTCAACAAAGGCTCTTATTACTTATCTGAGCTGACCAACAGGCAGGTACTATGTTAGGGTACAGCCCCAACACTGGGGTCAGCAGCCTGAGCAGTGGCGCTAATTGATGCCCAGGCCAGTGTTGGCCACCATCAAAGCCTGCAGCGTAAACCTCAGCTTTTCTGCTTTCTACTCGTGGTTGTATTGAACTCATGAGGGCACGCTCACCCTTGTCTGGGCTGCTAAATCTGTTCAGAAGGTGTCAAAGGAAAGGAAGCACTAACCCTCACTTGTCCTGCATCAGCCTTTTTGAGTTCTCCTAAAAGGAATCACTCATATCTTTTAAGTCTAATTCTTCTATAGCCATGAAAACACTCAAACAGACTCAACAGCAACATTATATTAAGTTGTTCAATTCTGCTTATAAGTTCAACTAGAGAAAGACTACTCCGCTGATATTAATACCACTGGTATTAATAAACACCTCCAGCTACACCGAAAAAGGGTTCGTCGTCCAGTTGAATTAGAAAACCAACACATACCATTGTTGGCCTCTGCTTTGTTCTGTCTACCTCAAAAGCTTTGTAGTCCTGTTTTAGTAGCTTGGTTTTAAGTTTCAATTTCACTAAATTTTAATGACATTTAGAAAATGCCTCAGCAATATCATGAAATATTATGCAGTGGCTATAAAAAGAGCCAGCTTTGGGCCTGCCTGGTGGTGCAAGGGGTTAAGACGCAACCTATGAAGCTACCTGCAGCCACTGCAGCACGAGTTCGATTTCCTGGCCAGGGAGCTACCCACATGGTGCAACAGACCGCTCCTGTCTCACGTGCTGCTCCCCTCAGCAGTGTATTTCAATCTTACTGTTCTGTTCCTCACTCTGTCTCTGGTGAATCCTCTCACCCCCCGCACCTCTGACCTACACTCCAGTTCTTGTATGCATAAATAAATAAATCTTTAAAAAAAAAAAAAAGAGCCAGCTTCTGCCCCCCGCCCCTTTCTCACTGTGGAACTATCTCAAGACGTACAGTTAAGGGGAGCAGGGCAATGAGAAATATTTCTATGACATACTGTGAAAGGAAACAAGTGAATGAAAAAAAATATATAGTGACTTGCTTCCCTTAAGAAATATGTGTGTGGTGCTCGCTTTGGCAGCACATATACTAAAATTGGAAGAAATATGTGTGTGTGTATATATATATACACACACACATATGAATGTATATATGTGGGTATGGATATATATCTATATGATCTTATTTCTATTTAAAAATCACATTATTTCTGTGTCTGCTGGAAAATTTCTGTAAGAATAGCAGCAGTTTGCAGGTGCTCGCTGGAGGTGGAATTAGAAGAGAACTTCACTTTTGAGGTTGTTTTCAGTATAGTTTGAGTGTGTCCCAGTATGCATTTATTCATTTTAATCATAAGCCCAAGACAACTGTCATAAACCCAAGACAACTGTCATACATACCTGTCATGAACTAAGTCATCAGACTATTGCCCAGAAACAAAGAAATAATCCATCAACTTAGCTCAGTGCTCCGTGTCTCAGAACTTGATTTTGATGAAGTTATTTTAATGTTGCTCATACCCAATGTCTTGGGGCGGGGGGAAACTTTTATCTATACTTTCAATGTTGGCTCTTATCTAAAATATCTACAATAGGTACTGTTGAACTGATTTAAAAAAAAAAACTGATTCACGTTTCTTTTTGTAACTTCAAGCTGTACTCAGCATTTCTAAGTCAGATATATTGTGAGTGGGAGTAAAACTGATTAGGCTTAAATATTCAAGAGACAGCACATGATTTTTGGCAACTGAAACATTTAAGATAAACTAAAACTATTGGTTCTTACTTGAAAAAAAGTAGAGTGACTTACAGGTACAAACCATTAGTTGTGTGCACAAGTAGTCTTCAAAAATTTATTAATAGAAATAGACATATTCAAATGCATCACTGAAGAAAAACAGAGAAAAGGAAGGTCAACAACACTGAAGATATCGCTTGCACTTGACATTTCATCACACAGAACTAGCACCATTAATTCAGAAATCACATATTTAATTATAATTGTTTCTAATATATAAAATACCTTATAAAGATTAGTGATCTAGTAACAAAGTTCTCCCAAAACTGATTTAAAAATCAATTAGAATTTACCATTTGAAACTGATGAAAATGGTTTAAAAATCGATCTAATTCTACGGCTTGTCAAGGGTAGGAGCCATAATTCGTTTTATTGGAAGAAAGTGTGTGAATTCAGCTCTGGCTCCCTTCTAACCACCCACTAGGTACAGTAAATTGAATAGCACATAGGAAAAAGAGCACATCTAAAACTGGTCTTAGAAAATACTTTCCTAGACTATAAAAATACTAAGTGGAATACAAAAATTTCAGCATATACAGCAAACAGACTACGACAAATATTTAAAACATACTTAAAACTATCTTATACCACAATCATCATGAACATCAAGTATTATTTTAATGATTTTTTATGATTCATTTTGATTCAATGGTTATTTCCCCTTAAGATTTCTTCTAATTTCAAATACAGACCAAATCCTGTGTTTCTAGCAGAAGTTACTGGAGGCACCACTGAATAATTCTTGGTTTTTAACTGGTTCTCAAAGTGCAGAAAGTGCAAATTGTAGGAGAGCCTGTTTTTCAGATCAGAGGTCAGCAAACGACAGCCTGGGGGCTGAACCTGGCCTGGTCCACTGCCTGTCTTGGAGGCCCAGGAATGTAGCTCACTGTGTTGTCTCTGCCTGCTTTCACTTTCTAAGAGCTTAGTTGAATAGTTGTGACAGAGACTGTATGTGACTGTTTTTTTCGGTGTGCAAAGTCTAAAATATCTACCATCTGGTCTTTACAGAAAAAGTTTGCCAACCCATATTTTAGATAAGTCACTTCAGGAAATTTTGCACTGAAGGAGGATATAGTATGACTGCCCCAGATTAAGAACATTTTGGCTGAGACTTGCTGGTCCTGGCATACAGTACCGCAGCAGGTTAAAAGAGTACACGTTTGGATTGGCAACTTGAGAGCGGAAATATTATTCTAGCATTGTAAGAAAAGCCGGGCCACGCCAAAGTACCTTCCTTTCTCTGTGAACTGGCCATTACATACCAACCAACTCATGTACCTAATTATAGCAACATACTTACTGTTCAATCCAAACCATCTCCTTGGCTCCCAAACATGATTTCTAGCCTTTAAAAACCAGTCATCTTGTACCCTTAGCAACAAACAGAACTAGAAGCAGCTTCTGCATTGGCATGGATTCTCTAAGTGCTGTTGCGTGTGCCTTTCAGAATCCTTCCCTGTGACATGCATCAAAATAACTAGTACTACCACTACCCAGGGCCACAAACATGTCCCTTTTGACAAAGCGGACTAAGTTTTCCAGCGGGCACATGGGCTTGGGAGAATGCTTATGGTGGTCTTGGCAAAAAGAGGTGTGAAATGTGACATCAACACCATTATAAAGAATTCGGACAGAATGTTCACTGGGCTTTTCTCTGTCTTGCCAGAGCTCAAAGATCAACCTGGCAGCAAACCTAGGGAACCTGGCTTCTGTGAGGCCCAGGGCACTGAGAACCGGAGACAGAGTGACGTCGTGAGCAGAGTAGAGGGTGAACAGCTCTTCTCTCCTGCCCTCCGCGGCACGCAGCATGCGGCTGATGGTTTGATTCAGGATGGGGTGGGCGCCCAGGAGCGCATACCCAAGGTACAGTTTCTTCTCCTGCCTGTCTCTCTCATCCTCTATCTGATGCATCTTAATCACCTTGAAGTGCTCCATGTCGATGCAGCCATTTCTGGTGCAAGGGAAGCTGACGTTGTGGCAGAAGTGGCAGAGCATGGAGTCTATGGGGTTGGCGGCTCGGAGCTGCTTGGTGGGGACATCCACGAGCTTGGCCATCTCCCCATAGGTCCTCTCCAGCTGGCTGTTTTTCAAACGTAAGAGGTACTGCCGACGCTGCTCCTTTTCCAGATACTGGTTTCTCACTGGGCAGTAGCAGTTTCCAGAGCAGAACAGAGCACTGGGCTGGTGCCTGAAATAAATCTTCTTCCAGTCAAAATCTGGGAGAAAGCCATAAAGCAAAGCCAGCCCACTTTGCAGAGTCCGGCTTTTCCCGGTGGTCTCTAAGTAAAGCTCCTCTGCAGACCAATCGTTGGGCAGGAGTTTGTGTTTCTTTAGGTAAATGTCCCGCAGGAGCTGGCCATTCTGCAGATGCTGCACGATCCCTGAAACACAGAGGACACCAGCTTCCCTTACGACCAGCTTGGCAAAAGTGACAGTAAACAGAAGTTGAGTTGGCATCTGACTCTGGAGTGCTTTAGGTCAGTGTAAGTTACGATCAGGGAGTCCACTCCCTGTCCCATGGAAGCTGCAAGAATGGGTCCACCTTGCAAAGAGACCCTGGGGTTTCCCATGAAGGGATGAGCAGAGTGAGGCCTGTGCTTGGACCCATGGCCTTTGTGGGGCGCTCAAGGTCCATATGCCATAATCCCTCCATCTGGACCTGTCCGCCTTCCCTGAGGGAGGTCTTATAACTGGCAGATGCAGCCAGTACGAATCACCATACTGGTGGACATGCAGGCTGTAACTGGCATGGAACTAAGGAGAGTTCTCTTCCTCTGTCCCAAGGTCACAGCTTTCTCAGTGCGAGGGAGAGCTCAGGGAACTCAGCTTGTGAAGAGAAAATGCTGCTCACTGGCTTAGACTCTGCATTGCTGGGAAGTTCTCCTTCACACCCCTCTTCCCTACTCTATTTAGCCCAGCAAAGGCCATTTCTGTTAACAAAGAAGGCCTCTGCTAACCTTCCAGGTACATTCTGCTAATCCTGCTCGGGCTTGACAGCTCATCAAGAAGGATACTCTTTATGGATATAGGATGATCCCCTAGATACCATATTTGAAAAAAAGCAAAGTGCAGAACAGTATGCTTATTATGCTTCTTTTATATAAAAATGAAGGCAAAATAAAAACACGTATTTGCAGTTGCTTCTCTTTTGTACAAAGAAACTCTGGAAGAGGGCCTCCCCGGTGGCGCAGCGGTTGAGCGCTGGGTTGCGAGGCTGCCCGCAGCCTCTGCAGCGCCGGTTCGATTCCCGGCTGCTCCCCGGCCACTGGAGGAGGGTCCACATGGTGCGCAGACCTCTCCTGCCGCCCGCTGCTCCCCTCAGCAGTGTACTTCGGTTCTTCTGCCTGCTCTGCTCCCTGCTCTGGCTCTGGTGAATTCTCTCACCCTCCCGCGCTTCTGACTGTACCCGGTGCTTGTATAAATAAATGAATAAATCTTTAAAAAAAAAAAAACATAAACAGAATTTATTAAAAAAAAAAAAAAAAGAAACTCTGGAAGAATACACACACAAAAAAAGGGTTACCCAGGGTGATGGGGGTGGGGGGCACAGAATGGCTGGATGGGCTGTGGGTAAGAGTGAGAATTTTAAGTCTATTTTTTAAGTTGTTTTAATTATCAATTATTACATTATTATCTTAACAACAATGAAAAAGCCTTATCCTCAAGCAGGAGCAGACAGTTCAAGATAAAAGCAAGCTCATCCTCCAGCAGATGGATGTAAGGGGCGCAATTTCAATGACATGGTAAGAACTCTCTGAGAGTGTAAACCACATGCAGGTCCTATGACCCATAATGTCATTTATTCAGATGTCCAAATGGTTTGAAAAGCTTTACCACAAGGATGAGATGATTTGAGGCTGAAATACAGAAAATAAGGAACTGTGTTGGCCCAGGAAGCCCGCCCCCCCCACCAAAAAAAAACATAACAAAACGGAACCCACAAAGATGTGCATGTTGTAGTCTGAATGGGGGGTCCTTGAAGAGAAGTCCCTCAAGATCTAGGCAAGGAAAGTCTAACATTTGCAAAATGACTTGCACAATGAGGCACCCCATAAGTGACGAACCTAACAAATCTCCATCCTGCCACAGCTCATCTCAGGGCAAACTTTCCATTCTTTGGCTACTATATCTTAAAGTTGAGAGCTTGTGGTATGCCAGACTTTTCTCATTTAAACCTCACAAGAGCCCTTTTAATAATGAAGGTATATCATTAGCATCTCCATTTTCCTAATTTTACAGTTGAGGAAACCAAGGTGCTGAGCCATTCAGAGCTGAGAAGTGGATGAATCAGAAATTAAGCCCCTCAGGGACCCCAAACTTGTGTCCCTGCTTGCAGCACCTTCCTTGGATATTTTCACACAGAAATACAAAGCCCAAGCCATTGAGGATTTCTTCTACGCTCCCCCCACCCCAACACAGACTGCATCTTCCTGACTTTGCTCACACCCTTCCCCTTTCTCTGACCAGAGCAATCTTCCTCCAACGCCTGCTGGTTCCCATAGCACTTTCTCTGCAGTCTTCCTTCTTATTCTCCCAGGTCAAATGAATAATTCCTTTCTTTTCCCACAGGCTGTGCACCCCTAACTGCATTCACTGAGCTCAGCATATGCTAGTGCTGTGCGGGGCACTTCACAGTGCAATCTAATCCAATTTACCGCCAGCCCTGGTGGGAAACATTAGGCCAGTCTGTCTACTCCAAAACCTGTGCTGAATCCAGAAGACGCTGCAGCTGCCAGCAGCACAGTTCACTGTCCCAGTGTTGTCCCTCTGCAGTCGTGGGCTCCTGCAGGACAGGCAGGGGATGGTCTCATTCAGTTGACCACCACCGTCTTCACACTCAGCAGCTGCCAAAGCCTCTTGGATAGAGTAGGTACTAGTGATCAGTCTTATCTAGTTACTGCGGGGAGCCATCAGGTGCCAGTTATAAATGATTATTATAACAGCTATGTATTTTTAATGACATTTAAAATAGAAGATAAAAATGACCATTAAAAAAGAATAAGAGAACAGGAGCAAAATGATTTCTAGAGTAAGACTAATTGAGAAAATGATGATGATAATAGATCAATTGAGAAGAAAGGCTGGAAGGAATGATTGTCTCTAAGTGTGTGAGGGCAACTATCCCCCATTTCTTCTCAGGGATCCAGAGGTTGAGCCCCCACTGCTCCATGCAAGTCACCCTCACCTCCTAGTCAGCTCATGGATACTGACCCTCAAATTTAAACTTGCATGTTTTCTCTGGTTGTGGCCAGGACTGTCATTCTGAGGCAAGGATAATAGTATTATTTTAATTGCCAGTTCCAGGCAATGGAGGCTGGTCACATTCTTGCCCCGAGAGTCTGTGAGTCACTCTAAATCTTTATAATGCATTTCCCTCTTTTGTTTCAGCTTGTTTCCATACTTGCAACCCGAGTGCCTAAACAAGCATGGTGGTTCTCAACAAGCATGGGACTGCGATCCTGGAGGGCTTAGGGGTTGGGTTGTCACATGAATATGGGGAGGGTAGTTCCTGACACCTAAGGGATGGGGACAGGGGGCTAGGAGTCTCCACAGGAACTGTTCTCTATCCCCCATACTTTTGAAAGCACTACTAGACATTCCCACACATAAAAAACATGCTGAAATACTTTAGCCTAGGATCTGTTTTTGTGTCTATAAACACAAAACCATTTTTACATAACATGAATATCCACTCAGCCTTCTAGACATGCAATACAAATAAAGGACCTTACGCAATTTGTTTTGATCAGAACTTGTCAAGAAATCATGTCTCAACCTGTCACTACAGTGTCTTGAATGTAACATCCTCAATCGGGGGCCCCTGCAGCTGTCACCACCACCTATCTACACTTAGGTGAAAGCACTTGAGACGCCTTCTCTTTTCTAGTGTAGTAGCATTATATCAAGATACATAGAACTATATAATAAATTAATTTTGTTTTTCCATTACATTATAGGAAGGGATCCTGATGTAACTGATTTTCAAAATTATGCACACAGAAAGGTTATATTGATATTTGAGTTTCACATTAGGATAGTTAAAGGAGCACAAAAAATGCCTGTTAAAAAAAGAGTGGTGGACCTGTTAGAATAAGAACTCCTGTTCTAAACTAATGCAAAGCTTGTGCCTATGGAACTAATTATCAAGTTTAGGCTAGTCCTCCAGCACCTTCAGCTTGTCCCAGTTGGCTGCTCACTATATTTCTCCCCAATAATGATGGTTTTCATAGCAATTGTAAAAGCAAACCAGGGCCAACTATAGGACAAAGACCCTATTTCCACGAGAGCTGAGGGTCCTAAGGTGCTGGTGGTACAAGATCAGAACATAAGCTTATAGATGCTCTGGTTTCTTCCACAAAGGCTGGTGCCCAAGCAGAGGTCCTTGCAGGTCATAGACTGAAGAACCAGGAAGCTGGGGGCATACCAGTTCCTTCTCTTCCAAAAAAAGAAAAAAAAATTGACCCCCTAGATAAAGCCAAACTCAAAAACTAACCCTTGAAAGCTGACTACAGAACTGGGGCATCCAGAGCGGGAGAGGAAGGGGGAGGGAGCATGATGGACTATGGTGGGGCATGGTGGGTGCACTGGTGGTGGGTTTGCTCTGGCACCACCACAAGGGGCGGATCCCATAGTTCCAGAATACAGCCTACAGTGTAACCAACACTACCTCCATGCAAAATTATAAGAAGAATAATAAAAATAAACATCAAGTTAGACTAAAAACAAACAAACAAAAGCAAATGAAACTGACCCCACAGTTAATTTGCCAATATACCCTGACAGTTAACTGGCTGCACAGGGACAGATGCCAAGCATCTGGGCCAAGCAAACTCCATGGGGATCTGCACATGTGCTGCTTCTTGAGATGTCGCCATTAAAACCTCACAGATATGTTGTCTGCTGTATCTAAGAACATGGGAGTGGTTACACAAATTATGGCCCATCCATCGTGCAGTAAGATGTAGCCGTCGGATATGATATAGATGTATGTTTACTGACAGGAAAAGATTATCACACTCTATCATTAAGTGAAAATGTGGGTTACAAAATAGTGTGTTTACTAAGATACCACTGTGTGTGTGTGTGCAGGTGTCCGTGTGTGTGTGCATGCACGTGTGGACACAAGCACAGTGAGAGAGACTACTAATTTCTTTGGTGGGATTATGGGTGCTTTAAGTTTTTTTTCCCTTTTGCTTAATTGTCTTTATTTCTCTTCCATGACTTTGTACTACTTTTCTAGTAAGAAAAAAAGATTATTTTTAACTTTAGGAAGTCAGATGTTTAGTTAGCTCCTTCGGTGGATGCAGAGTTGCTTGAGCTGTCAGTCTTTATTTACCTCGAGTCCACAGCACCATTCCCAGGAGAGTCTGTTCTACACGGGGGCCAATAGGGAGAGCAGGCAGGACAGTGAGTGAGCAAGAAAACATACCTGTCTGCGTGAGCTCCCCCATCTCACACAGCGGATGATTGGGGTATAGAGGCAGGGAGTGTAAGGGGCTTTCAAAAGAGGCTCCAGATCCTTTCGACATGTGACTAATGAAAGCTTCCAGTTTAGGGTGATACGGTTTCCTAAAGAGACAACACAGAGAGTTAGTGGTCAGAGTTTCAGAAGAGTCAACCATGGTTTCAACTCCAGCAAGGACATCCCGGGTGCAACACAGACTTTCTAGACCACAATACCAGGTCCTGGCTTGATCATTTTAAAGTTCCAGTGTCATTATTACTCTACCACAGAACCTAGGCATAAAACCCCCACTCAGCAAGGCCAGCCTGAGCCTTAACCTCTGTGGAAGAACCCATCATTCTTGGCACCATGGGCCTCAGCTTTGTCCCCACCATCCAGCTCTCCAACCTGCACCCTTCCTGTGTCTCTCTCCAGGAGGCCACCAACCCCAGCAGGCAGCCATGCCTAGCGGGGAGTCCCTGGCTTCTCCCTTCACATGCCATCAGCTGCCCAGTGCTGCAGGGGTGCACTACCTGGCTTTCACCCCTCTCTTCTGCACTCCTGCAACCACCACCAGGGTTCTGAATCTCGCAGCCTTCGTCTAGATGGCAGGGGCTTCCTCTTTGTTCTTCCTGCAGTTTAATCTTGCCCCTGGAGTCCTGCCTCAGCCAGAGCCAGAGCTGAGGGTGGATTTAAAGGGCAATCAGACTAGTCTTTGCTCTTCCCCACAATAAGTTTCTTGGGGGAGCTGTGCCCAGCTGGCCATTGTCTCCTCCAGCCCCAGCTCCCTAAGGTGCAGGGTGTCCAGCCCTTTCTACTCCAAGACTGCTCTGGTCACACACTGTCGGCGTCCTTCTGTTCCCCAAACACCCGGGCCAGCACGTGCCAACACTTTCCATAGGCTGCCCCTTCCTCCTGGGAAACCTCCCCCAACTTTTACCTGGATAAACTTAATCCTTAACCTACCTGACCTGGGGGAAATCCTCTAAAAGTCTCAACTGTTTAAGATAACCAAGATCGCTATAGCACTCAACAGCTCAGAATGCTTTTACACACATAACATCAGGTTTCATGTGGGGTGGTAATGAATAGCTAAAAAGCAGTTTATTTATGAGGGCTGACATTAGTTAGATTTCTGCCATGAAGTACATGTGGTAAATCAAGATAAAATTTATTTTTCCAGTCACTAATACACAAATCCTTGAATAATGAGATGACCTATGAATATACACACCTTTCCTTTGAATGATGAAATGGCCTGTGAATATATGTCTGAATTTTCAAGCTGAGCAGAAGTGGACAGAGTAATACCCAACTAAACTAAATCAGCAGGAAAAGCAGCAAGATAGATTGTTCTAATGGCAGACCCCCTGCTGTCTGAAAGCCCAATTAACTTTGGCAATGCTTTTAAAATGGCTGCCAAAATGGGTTTATTATCTTTCAAAAACATAAAGCTAAAAAAAAAATCCATCTTTTAGAAAATATGTTTTAAAATTAGAAAATGCTAATCTTGACTAACAGTATAGTTTAATAAATCACCCGGGATTGCTACAGGGAATTATGTCTTCCCATAAAAATAAAGGGTATGTTATTTTTCCCGAGGCTAACACACATAAATATTTGCAAACTGGGAAATAAAATTTCTAGACTGATAATGAGGCTGCCCATACGAATCCACAGAAACAAAGGCTATTCATCAACAGGCATCAAACGTTCTGCTCTGGGCCAGGTCAGTGATGTCTGAGAAGCTGGGAAAGCTTTGCTGCCTATTTCAGAAAGAAATTCTAATGGAAGTATTTGCTGAACTGTCCCAGGTTTTTAGGGCATCTGACTGCCTACTGATGCATTAATTTCAGTTTTCATGAGAACTTGTTTCTGGTACGAAATGAAGATTCATACAAGAAAAACTTCACTTACAGAACAGATGACAAATGACTGGAAATACTTAATGGGAAGAGGACCAGGTAACCTGAGTCCCAGGACTTCCTAGGTCTGCCCTGCTTGCCTGGCCAGACACTCCCTTCCAGGAGTGGAAAGGGGTCCTTGTACATAATGGAGACTCCACTCCTTGGATCCTTCGTGGAAAGTCAAGACTTCCACAGTCTGTAGCAACGACTATAGCAAGTTCCAGAAAGTTGATTAAAATATTCAAATATTAGTAGTGGGTGACACTACTAATTGTGACAGACTCCCTTTGACCAAATTCTAATTAGGCTCCTGAGAACCTCTTGCCAAACAATCCTCGACCTTTGGATTTCATGTCCTTTGGAATCATATGTGCAGCTCTGCATTGCCCAGTTTTAGTAAAAATCCTGCCCCTCAGCAGGATCTCCCTCTCTTGATATCTGATCACCCTCAATAGCTGATGGAACCGCCCAACCTCCAGGCCTGCCTTCAGCAGGAATCTTGTCGATTTCATTTATTTGGAAGCTCCCCATATCCCCAATGTTTCCTCTTGGTAATTTTCACCCACTTTGCTCCTTGGTTATACTTCCCAGTGATCACAATGCATTCCAATCTGAGCCTGATTCTACAGAGGGCTCTTTTTCCCTATTGCATTAGTTCCTGAATAAATTCTATTTTCATTAGCGTCTGGCTCTGGTTTTTCTTTACCAGCAGTGCACTAACATCTCCTCTCCTTTGCAGGGTCAGATCCCGTTTCTGAGATCCCTGTGGTTAGGTAAAGCGACATGTGAAGCATCACCCATGGAATGGAAGGATGTTTGTCACTTCTGGATTTAGGTTTTCAGATCCTGAGCGTGTCCCATTCACACTCCCTTCCTTCCCTCTGGCCATGACTCAGGCCAGCAGCAACCCAGATTCAATTATTTGGACATCCCAGGGCATCCCCAGCTCTGGGAGGAATGGGGATAGAGGGGACCTTGAATGACCAGGTGAACCTGTAACTCTCTTTTCAGACCTGCACACAGGATCATAAACTTCTTTGCTCTTTAGGCAATTCATTCTTGTGCCTCCTTATAACAACAGCCTTATCTTACAAATGATTAAATCTGTGATGATGAATTTTTCTTCAGGAAAAACTGGAAATTTTTTCCACCTCATTGGAAATCTGCTTTCATGTTGAAAACTGAGAGACTAAAAAGTGCTGTCTTAAACCTTCAAACCTTTCACTTCGGAGATCTTATTTACATTTTTATAGGCATTGTTTACACCTATTTTCCCATAAAGCTTAAGACAGAACCCTGAGGCTAAACTATACACCCATGAGAAAATTTTACTGAGCTTTAGCTATAATCTGAGCAATTACTGGGTGCTACTCAGAATGATAAGACAAACAGAGAACGATCATATGGCCAGAGACACTGTTAGCAGAAAGCACAATTCAAAAAAATCTTACAGGGCTGGAAACCACAGACGTTTATAAGTTATGCTGATTAAAAATTTGTTATTTTATATCATTAAAAAATGAAATAATTTATAAAGATAAGCATTATGAATTTTTCCCAGACCTTCACTTTCTGGACCTTTGTGCTTCACCTGATGTGCCTCACTGCCCCTTCCCCCACTACCTGAGACTCTCTCCTTCTTTAGCTCTCAAAACATCACTCTCCTGCCTTCTTCCCTGTTTGCAACTTATATCTCCTGGGCTCCCTCTTTTCCTCTGTGCCTATCACAGATCCCGGGGTGTTTCCCAGGATGTTGACTCAGGCTTTGCCATCCCCGTGAAGCCCACACCTATTGTCCTATTATTGTGTGAGGAAGGTAGAGCAGAGAGGGTGGTGCCTAAAGAAAATTAAACTATGCCCAGAACCCCAAGAAACACTTGCCAGAGCCTGGGGGAAAGCTAAGAAACTCCCAGGAGGGGAAGACAGTCCCCTACCACAACCTACAGGCAGACCCATAAAGTCTATGAAGAGCAAAAAAGCTGCAAAGGGGGAGAGGCAGACCCCCGCCTCCCCTCCGCTGCTGGGACCTATAAAACTCCACCTGGGGAGCACAACAGAAGGGGGAGTGACTTAGACTTTCTCGAACTATAAGCTGATACCCAGGAAGTGGGTGTGCAGTAACCCCAGCAAGGGATGGAGTGAGCAGCCTTCTGCACCCCATTTAAGCTAGGAGTTCCCCACCTTTCCTTGTAGTTGTTCCCTGGATTCTGCTAGCCCAGGACCTCTTCCTGGGTATACTTTCACTCTGTCTCTAATAAACTTTGTTTTGCTTTGCCTAGACGTGGCTTTGAATTCTTTCATGGCCATAGCCAAGACCAAGGAACCCCAAAACCTAGCAACATGCAAGAACCCAAAAACCTGAAAATAGTTGAACCCTCAAATCAACCTCTATCTCTCAGAAAAACAAAGCTCTGAGCCCCACAGGTAGACGGCCTCTACTACCTTCTTGATTGTCACTTGAGTGTTTCATGGTAACTCAAACTTCGTCCTGAGACCAATTTTCCTCCACTCCCCCCTTCTTCTGGACTCTATTCTGGGGAGGTACACCACCACCATCAGACACCCAGTCAGAAACCTGGCTATTATACTCTTTTTCTCACCCCATCCCACCTGTTACCAAGTACTCATATCAACTCTGCCCTACAACTTTCTCTCAGCTCCAACTCCCTTTCTCCATCTGTTGCCACTCCCTGAGTCCCAGCCTCCAACATTTATTCAATCTACATGTATTTACTGTTACTGTTACTTCCTACATGCCAGGCACTGTTCTAGGCACTTGGGATACCAAGTGGATTCAAAGTTTTTGAAGAAAAACAATCACTGCCCTCAGGGAGCTGACATTACATCCTAGCCTGGGAGCAGACAGATGTAGACAAGAGTAGACAACAAGGGCTAGAAAGCAACCAAGGAGATAGGCCCAGAGGGTGAAACACCCACAATGAGGCCACTGGACAGTTCTTATGATTATCAGCCTAGTGGTTGTTCAAGGTAGTGACTATCAGCTTGAGGTTACATGTTCTGTCCCTCACTATCACCTCCTGTGAACAGCTAAATTGGAGCCTTGAGGGCCCTGATAGTGGAAGTTGTTAAGGTTGAATGAAGTCCACATGCTGTCCCTTCACAATCAAGGGTCCTCTCTACAACTGGCTTCCAAATTATGTGAAACATCTGTCCCACCTCTGTGTGGGGCCACTGCTGGGAGAACATTCACCTATGGT